GACTATATTGTTTTGACAAATAACAGTTTCTAGTTTTAGTAGAGACATGGTACAGCTAGGGATTAAAAAATTTTACAGGTTATTTAACAATATGTTTTTATATGAATGGTGAAGGAAAAAAACTTTTTTGATGTTTTAACACATCCAAGGAATTTAGAAACATGGAAGAAAAGAACTAAAAAAAACCTACAGAAACGATAATTTTACAAAAAGCGATGACATTTATATTTCTTATTCCATTTTGGATCTCTACGTGAAAGTGTGGCTGTGAAACCCCATCTATAAATAGTTAAAGGTTAGGTATTCTCCATCATGTTTATGGACCATAACTTACACTCAAGCATTTCCAAGACCGTGTCCTTTTCCGTGTTAAAACGTTCGCCTGCAAGCACGACCTTTTATAAAAAAAAAGCCAATAAAAGGTTTTAAAACGTACTATTTATAGATAACGTACTTAACAATTTGAAGGGGGTAATGGGATTTTAAGGAAGAGAAAGGAAAACTTTTATTGCAAAATTATTATTCGAATTTTAACGAGATAAGAAAAGTTTTGCCTTTATATAAGTAATTGTAAAAGACCTTGCTCCGTCGGACGATCGTCTCTTCAAAGCATAATTAAAATTGCCAAAAACTGGAAAATAAAATTGTTAAATGACAATGACGTCAGGAAATGTACAAAAATCACTAACTGAAATTAATACCTTTCTTTGTTTGAACTCTGACAGGAGTATGCCTAGTTACAAAACTATAGTTTCTGCCACAGTTTTAACAATCATAAGTTTATATTTCATTAAAGAAATATTTTCACAATATAATTATATATTTACAAATTTTTCTTGTGAACAGACATGAATCTTTCCGGAGGTCATATTACAGGTCTAATTGAACTAAAAAGTCTATCTACTTTACTACTAAAAAAAGTCTTTGTTCAAATTCGTCTATCAATTGTAATTTCACTCTTCCGGTTACTTTATTTCACAATTTTATTATATTAAGTCCAAATTAGCCATAAAGATTTTGGAATTCTATTTCAAAATAATACAAATGAAACAGAAAACCTATATGGTACATCAATGACTAAGAAAAACCAAAAGGTTGAAGTTCATAAAATCATAGTCTTGAACATTTAAATTAGTTGTGAAAACGTTTTTGTTTTTATATGTTACGTATTTCTGTTAGTATGAAAGAGTCTTTTTTTGCTTGTTATCTACTACTTTCATTATTTTTAATAAAAGAGAAAATCTTGATCCGGTTTAACCAAGAAATCAATTTTCTTTACCATTCGAACGTTAATTTTACATCGTTGTTAACCGGACTTTGAGAAATTAAGTACATGGTTTTAAAACTCATTAGTAGGGGCAACATTTTTGAGAGTGCCATGTAGGTCAGTATTTACACAACCAAAATTACCTTTCTTAAACTTTATACACGAACTTTTTATACTCGTAAAGTGTTAACTTTTAAGCAATATTTTATTTTGTAGCAGTAATATGCCACAAAATATGCCGATATGTTGCTAAATATAATAAATAAACTTTATGTGTTAACTTAAAAATATTTATAAAAACGATAAGGAGAACATTATGGGAGAACAAAAGTGTAAAATATGAACTTAGCTACATAAATAATTATATAGAAATATTGTTAAAGAATGGGAATCTTAATAGAAAAAAATGTTTACATTAAAAACAAGCTACAACTTTAAACTCATTAAATCAGGAATTCTTAAGGGAACTCGTTCGTCTTAAATTTGTATTTTGTATTTATATATTTTTATTGAAATAGATAATTTTTCTATAAATTGGGATATGTATATTACACATATTATATAAAGGATGAAGAATAAGAAAAAGATTCGATGTCCTCTCGTAAATCTATTGTCTCTCGAAAAAGGTAAGCAAAAAGGTTATCGATATAATATTTTAGGAAAATGATTGTTTTAAAAATTCGTTATATTGGCACAAATATATTTTACATAAATAACTATCTGCTCAGAATAAATAATACTTACATATTAGAGGTTACTATATTTCTGTAAATATATCGCATTCAAGAACAAGTGGATATTTTGGTATTTATTTTTGATTATACAAGTTTATTGAGAACAAAATTAAAGCGTTACAAAAATAAATGTGCACTTATTGTTTACAGTATCAGGCTGACTTTAAGAAAGATCAAAAATTTAGATCAATTTTACTTTTTTAATACCAGAAATAAGCTTTGTTTACTAGCTCTAATTTTGTGTCAAAAAAATAAAAATGAATAAATATATTATTTATAGCGTTGGGATAATTCTTTATAAAAATGACGATTGTTTAACGTAAATTTCTTAAAGTTAAATATTTACATTTCAAATATCAACAATACTCCAAAAATAATTAATTATATGTATGACATGAGGTTCATTACAAAATGGCTCTTGATGCAATTAATTAAATTAATGGTAATTCTGTGATGGTAATGAAATTACACTAGTTAGAATACTGTGGAATTTGAATTTATTGTTAGTTTATTGATACCATAAAATTTTGTCATCTAAACGCACCTATGTTAAATATGAAAAATGAAAATCGTAAATACACTGTCTGTCAATGTAAGAATACAACTATAATTTTCCTATTTTAGTATAATATTAAACTCATAAAATTTAGTGTTTTGACGTTGTATTTATACTTTTGAATGGTTAATATTTAAAATCAGCCTGATATTACATTACTAATTATTCATATTAGACCAAAACAGCAAAGCGTGACAATGGGTCTTTGATATTGATGAGCAAATGTAGAAGAGTAAAGGCGAAAGGTGAATCCATGGCTTTGGGGGGAAACTTATATTATTAAATAACGAAATTGTATAATATTTCCTATAAACAGTTCCAATTTAATATCATTTAATTCTTTTTAAAATTTTCACTAGCTATAAGTAGATTTTTGATATGAAACAGTGGAGGAAACGTAAAATTTCCAATGGTCGTTCCGCTTTCGAGATAACATCTCCGAAACAACAAACCAAAAAAGTCCGAATATATTTACAAATCGTATATTTACAAATTTGTACAATCACACTTTACAAACCAAAAGAAAAACGTTCGCTTTGTGTAAACATTTTCCTCGATGACTTTTAAATAACTCTCTAGGTATATCACAGGTGTGAGTTAAAAATTGGCCTTATTTTGTTTCTAGGGAAACAATAGAGAGGAGGAAGGATTGTGCATTGCCGTTGGTTTATTCCTTTACCCCCTTTTTTTGTAGTCGGATGATTGCGGCCTTAGATTTCTCTCTCCTATTGAACACGGAAGCTAGATCGAGGGTATAAGGGCGACAAATCCCTTCGGCTCCGAGCCCTTTTCGCTCCTAGGGCCCTCGTCTCCCTTCACTCATCTAAATCTCCGCGAAAAGAAGATTTCCTAAAGCTGGCTAACCTCCCCAGAGCGCAACTTATAAATAATTCATTGTACCTTGAACTGGGAAAAGAACAAAGAAAAAACACAAGTGCTAATTTTATGTTTGACAAACATCAAACAACTAGGAATGCAACAGTAAATACTATATTGCAATAAAATTTAAAAGCTTTTTTTTTTGCAAAACTATAATACCCACATAGTCAAAAATATCGCACCACCTATAAACCTCGTCAATTTTAGGTTTCTATTTTAACCTGCTATTTAGTTTATATTTATAGTGTTATAATTTGTTCCATGGAAATAGAGAATTAATCATATCTTTAAAAATTACTTCTCACCAACAAACAAAGGATCAAAGTTTTTCTTGGTTACTTTTACTGTAATCATTAGTCGGTATTTAACATTACTTGCCACTTAGCGATTTCTCTTTATTTTCATTACATTGCTAATTGTATTTGTGTCATTGTGTGTAGTTCTAGTCAAAAGGAAAGAAATATTTTTGAAAAGTTTATATATAATACAGGGTAAGTCATTTTTTGACGCACCATTGGAAAATCAACGTGGGTGCGTTTATACTCACCCTGTATATATATAAACTTTTAAATATATATACATACATATATATATATATATATTCGTGCTGATTCCTGATAGAGTTTATATGTGAAATCAGAATATTGAAAATTTTCCCAATAACAGTATCAAATCGCATACACAGAGCCGGCTCATACGTGAGTTGAAAAAATATTATTAATTTGACGGAATGTATTTATTAGCGTTTTCGTTTAAGTACGATTGAGTGTTGAATTGAATTGAATATATAGTGCAAACACTCTAGCTAATATATTATGTATTTGCAGTGTATTAGGGTAGTACTCACTGGTATATCATCAAATTTCTGGTAGGTACTCGAATGTGTGATTGTATTCATTTGCGTGAAAAGTTAAGTCTGAATAGGTCTGTGGTGGAATATCAAGTACCCCATAAACGTATTAAACCAATTAACTATGCAAGAACGTATTTATTAGCGTGAATTGGGGTGAAAAACGCCTTGCCAGATTCCAGTTATATTGTACGAAATTTTAGTGTATTTGAAGGGATCGAAGTCTCAACAGTATATCGAGAACTCTTGTGTTCCGCTAAACGTAGATTAGGTTTATAATTTAATTTAATTTATAACTTAATTGAATTAGAACATTATAGTCAAGTATGGAAAGGCAAAAAGCAAAATATAAATGAAATGAAAAATATACGAGATAGTCAAAACCGAGGAGCCAGCAAACCCCAACCAGCTACCCGGCCGAGAAAAAATAAGAAAAACAGTATCAAAATTAAATATGACTAATGATTTAAATGATAATTATGGCATATCAATAAATTTTGAAGGTATTGCTCAACTTTAAGTATTGTAAATTTTCCTGTAGTCATATTTAATCTTGATTGTAATATTCATTTAAAGAATACCAATTTCATTCAGGCAAAAGAAATAACACAAATAATTTGAATAAATGAACATAAACATTTACAATTTTGAATGAAAAAATATTTTGTTATCTTTTAGTTTTTCACTTGTTTTTTTTTTGCGTAGAATTTCTTTTAAAGGTTAATAACGAAAGATGGCGTATAATTAAACAGTGTGGAATTGGATTGAATACTAATTTATAGAAATATATAAATAAGACGAAAGGGCGAAATTTAAACAAGTGAACTTTTTCACATACCACGGAAAAGACGAGACGGATTTCAAAGTTTTAAACCGCCGTGGATGGGACTGTTTTTTTAAGGAACAGCGGGACAACGATCAGGCTGAAAACCTCGAAGCCGGTGAAGTTGGTCGGGCAATCCCAATATTTTTGTTTTGGTTGGCTGCCCGATTGAGATTATTTTTATAAAAAGTTTGCCGAACTTTCTCGGCTGGTTAGCCCGGCGAAATTCGGGCTCATTCAATCGGAGGGAGCCAACATTTTTCACCTCGTTACGCCGCGGGCAATACCTGCTGTAACCGGCAACTTTTGATCTGGACGATTTAAAAAAAAAAAAATTATGTCTTAATGTCTTGTTTGTTTAATGTCGTTGATATGCAACATCGTGTAAAGTCTGCATGCATTAATTTCTTGATGATACCTTTTAATCCAGACTGGAAGCGCTCTTTATCATAAACGACGCCAATTCAAGTTTAATATCATGCAAATGTTTATTGTTCACTAACGTGAATAAACCAACGGCATTGCTAAGAATAAAAATGAATTATATTTATAAGCATTTGAGTAATCAAAAATAATATTATGATAAATAATCTGTAACAATTTTTTTCATTACTGAACAACACTAATTTGTTCTTCTAATTAAATCATTGTATAATTTTAAAACAAAACTAAGGGATGTACAATTTTTAAAATCGTTACACAGATCGGAGCAGTCTTTGTGTTTAGAGTGATGAGGGCCGGCTGTGGATGATGATGAGCGCCGCAAGAATGAAGTAGGTGCTTGACCAACTGGCTTCCACTCGACTACCTGGAAAAATAAAGAAAACTCACTCTTTTAATGTTTACAAGCAAACATGCGAGTCAAACTGGGGGTCTTTGAAGATGATAACTGTCCTCCTCAAAGACCCAGAAAACTCCATCTACTTTAATTTGATTTTCAGACTTTCCTTTGTCGGCCATCAAATAATTACAGGCTTTTATAATTAAATTTATGGAAAGTTTAGTAATGCTGTGAGGTTATTGTTTGAAAATAAAGGCCAACGTTTGAAAGTGGTACTTTGACGAAAACGCCATCAAAAGAAAATTATTTATCGGTTGTAGTACGCTGAAATAATATCAGTAATAAAACATATTATATAAAATTCTTTATAATATGCAAAATATATACAGTGTGTTCTTTTTAGATGGCCCGGCTGAATTTCTGTGGAATCAATGACGCTATTAAAAAATACTTGTTTAATATTTTTTATTCTAGTTTCAAATTTTTGCCTTTTTTGGTAGAAAAATTATTCAGGGTACCTCAGGCCCAGTTCAACTTAAAAATTTCATATACGACTCTATATATCTCGACATGTAATTTTAAAGGTTTTTTTACGCTGAAAACAATGGTGTAATTTGTTTTTAAATTGGTCGAAAAATGACAAAGTTATAGTAAAAAGAAACCGACAGCGTAATTTCGACAATGAGATTTTACTGGGGGCAGAGGAAAATCCGAGAATTTCGTACACTTGTCAACATCAGGTGGTTCACAGTATCAACGTTTGGTGTGGATTTCTCGGAAATAAATTAATTTCCATATTTCTACGAAAATAATTTATATGGTGCTCTGTTCTTCAATTTTTTTAGGGAGGTTTTACCAAAACTATTAGATGATGTTCCTCTGCAACAACAACGAATGATTCTCCAGCTTGATGGATGCCCCGCACACAATTCTTTGAAGGCGAGATGTTATTTGAATCATCACCTCCGGGATAGCTGGAAAGGTCCTCATGGCTCTTGGTTGGCCTCCCCAGTCCTGATAGCTATATTCTTGTTTTTGTACCCTTTACTTGCTATATACTAATGGGGTACGAGCCTACCTAGGCTTTTAACCCCTCGGGTCCTGGTCACCCGCCCTGCGTAAAATATATATATATACCCTTTACTTAGGTTGAGTTGGGTACATCTTTCGATTGCATGAATCTCTTCTTGGAAGATACTAGTGTATTTTCCCATGGGTTCTGAGTAGTTGGGTCCAAATACTCCTTCCCTGTATCTTCTTGTGTTCTAGATCCATCTATGTACTAAAGGATGGTGCCATTCTTAAAAGAGGTGTTTCCCTCTCGATCGCATTATTTTTTGGTACCTAGTTTTATTCAGAAGTTTTAAAGTAATGTATGAACCACACATATTTTACAATATGTAGGGTTTATGTATGTTATAAATGTTTCTTAAGAAGGGAAGCATTGAACAAAAACGGACGTCCGAGAAATGCGGTTCGTACGATTTTTCTTATTTTTTTACTTGTTTTATTCTATTTATTTTTTTGATTGGAAGTACATCATATGCCGTGTATTTCGAAATGGAATGTGTGATCTTCCAGGCAAAACGAGTTTTACAAATAACAATTTGTTGATTTAGTATTTCAAAAAATGAAAATATAAGCTTACCTAAATCAATAAATTTTAAAAAGGTATATTTTGTGTATTAAACATAAGTTAAAATTTTGAGATCAGGAATAAAATAAGGATGGGCAATTGAAATTTTGCTACTTCGAATTCACATTTTTATTTTCAAATTCTTTTTTCCTTCAAATAAATATTTTCTTTATATTAAATTAAACCTGTTTTAAGTTCAAATAAACCGTAGTTGTTTCAAGTTCAAATGGACATTTTTAACCTCAAATTAGGGGCGTCGCTGACCACAACGGTTTTCAAAACCACCGGCATCCCGAGGAGTAGTAATAAGGATCGCGGATTAGATTTGGATTTATACAGGCCAAATCCACACGTGTACGTACCTAAATGGAAACATATGCAGAGTTTAACCTATTTGCTTCATTCATTGCAAATAATACAAAAGCTGGAATTGCTGGCGAGCTGCAAAATTGATAGGCTGTACATGCCTTTGCACACATGAGCTTATATACCACAGTAGTCAGTAAAAATTGTAAATTTAAATATTCTTTCCATATAAGGTCTTGGTTTAGATAAAAATCAGTGTTACGAGCGGGATTCGAACCCACGACCCTCGACTAAATACGCCGCTACTGTATTTGAGCTATCTTGACTTCGATCCTCTCGGACACCAACTCTCCATCTCAACCACAACCTTTCGAATTTTCCCTCCTTTTTGTCATTTTCAAATGTGTAATCGGATTGGATTCTCAGCGATTTATGACGTTGCCACGAAGAGCTGTTTAATGAAGTGGTACAACTTTTACTCATTAAATATTAATTCATTTACGTTTTATTGGTCTATTGACCAAGTTACATCGTTCAATTAATTATTCTTCCAATGTAAGGTCTTGGTTAAGATAAAAACGGCAGTGCCCGAGAGGATCAAAGTCACGAGAGCTCAAGTGGTAGAGTAGCGGCGTATTTAGCTGAAGGTTGTGGGTTCGAATCCCGCTCGTGACCAAGACCTTACGTGGAAAGAATAGTTATTTGAAAGATTTAACTTGGTCAATTGACCACTAAACCACTAAAACGTAAATGTAAATTTAAAGTTAATTTGTAATTAAAATGGTTAACTTGAAGTAGAAAAATGGTTCAGTTTGAAGGTAAAAATAGTTATTTTGAAATTACAAAAGATTAGTTTGATGTTCAAAAGTCTTAATTTGGCTGAAGTGAAAGCTATAACATTAAAATATTTAATAGAGATAAGACATAGATTTGTAAAATTGTTTTATTGTGTACTTCATTTTAATAATGTAGTAGTATTTTTGGTTAAATTGTGGTAATTTATTGAAGAATTTAGAAAGTAAGACCTCCTTGTAGTTAAGTTAAAAGTATTTTTATTCAATGAAGCTAAATTGATCAATTTTTATTTATTCATATTCCAAGGGAATTGAGTTTAGACATTTCCATTGGCAAGTTCTCTTTGATAACCAATTGTCAAAAGGGTAGATTACCAAGTTAACTGAAGCAGATTTTAGTTGCAAAGCGCAGCGGGTCTGGCAGCTAAGCCGCTTCCATGTCTATAGACAGAACTGTATTTTAACTAGGTAAGCCCCGGTAAGAAGATAATTTCAGTCTCCTATTTAATCGTCCTAATGTACTCTGCGTGAGGCTGTGGACTCAGGTAAAGAATTTACATCCGGCTGAGCTTCATTTAAAAGGCACATTTGCCACCTTTTTACTTTCTAATTGTTTTCATTGTTCCTTCTAAAGACGCTTGTCTTTCCAACACAAAAAAATTCCTTATACATTCTAATTCAATCTCGTTATACTTCATTTAGAAAAAAAAGGAAAAATATAATTTTCTTGTCATCTTCTCATCGCTTTTATAGTGTAGTCAATGGATTTTCTTAATAAAAAAATTACACCATAAAAATGATATTACGATTGCTTCAATATTAAGATAATGTATTATACTGTAGCCGTTTAAATTTATTTATATGAAACTACTCCACTATTACTACTGTTTTGATTTTTTTTTTGTACATGTATGCATCTAAGAATCTTCTTCACATCAAAAGAGTTATGTACTCAAAGACCAAAAACTGGACACTCGTATTGTTTTTAATTTAACCCTCGGGGTGCCGGTATTTTTGAAACAAGCCCATTTGCAAGCGTGTCGGGTTCCAACGCAAGGGCCGCTGGATTCGAACCCCGGACCTTTACCTTACAGTGATGAGCGCCGTATCAAAGCCTAAACCGTTGCGGCCACCGACGCCCCCATTTACATCTATTTATTAATAATATAAACTAAATTAATCAAGATGACAAATTCATGAGTTTAATAAAAATTATTTAATTGTGATAGCTTGAAAAAAATTCACAAAAAATTGTAAAATTATTTTCCTTTAGAAAATTGCTTTGTGATAGATTAAAATTTAATTAACACTTTATCACTTAATTTTCCTCTTAGTAACGAGTATTTCCTCTTCTGGCCTCTAGGAGTACCTTAAGTCTTATAAAAATCGCGTAAATAAGTGATCGGATTTTGTTTTGTGAAAGAGAATCCCATCCTTAAACAAAAAGCGGTTTGGAGCTGTTCAACGCTTGTTGGAGGCTGCGAACGACGTATTTATCTTGTCCCATTAGTGTTCTATAGGATTCAGGTCAGGAGAACGAGCAATTCATTTTGGTAATCTCTACATCCGTCAATAATAGTGATAACTCAAGTGAAATGAGTTGGAGAATTATGCATTAACACAAAGTTGTCTTCAATAAATGGGGCCATAGCTTCCAGAAGAAGGTTCTCATTTTACCTTAGTCCAGTCTAAGGTCAGTTCTATATGATAAACAGTTCTGAACGGGCATGGACGTTGATTCCACCTCATACCGTCAACACATAGTCACGGTAATCTAATTGCTACAAACCCAACCACTCACCTTTGAAGAAAATAGCCCCCTCCCCAATTAAATGTCCAAGCGAGATGCTGACTTGCGAATAGTCACCATTGTACACAAAGCATTTCCAGTAGTGGAGAAATGGTGCGGGACATCTATAGACTATGCTGCTCTCATTGAGCTTCCTGGTGACTGTTTTAGATTACACCATTACATTACAGACCGTTCGGGGTTGACTTTCTCTTAAGGAAGCCGTAAATGACGGTTTGTAGTGTGGTGAGCCATAACAGATCGTCTCTAACTATCGCATATAGCGGTCGACCACTACCTCTTCTTCCATCAAAAGTGGTCCTAAAACGCAGTACATTATCGAGGTTAGTAGAGCACAGCACACCCAGAATTTGGGCAACAACTGACGCATCGCTACGCCAAAATCTTCTCAACATAAAACCAGGCTAATTAAGAAAGAACATTTACTCAAATTGATTAGTTATTATGGAAACGGAAGCAGTAAATTCATATGTTAATATACAATATGCTACAGTTTTTCTTTTGGAAATCATAGCAGTTGAATACAACGCCAGAGAAACAAAAAGGCTAGAAACACATTCCAGGGAGATAGCTCTTTTTCCACAATCAGACTGCACTCTAATTTGTGATTGTGACAGTACGAGCATAACAGACCGATTGGCAGCCGCTATGGATTAATAATAGCATAATAATCATTCAAGAGTTCTCTTACCATCTCTTTTCAGTCGTTTATGGAGGTATTGTGACCACCAGAATAACCCTAGGCATATCTTGGGGATTAAAACCAAAAATGGCCTATTGACTACACACGGTAGTAATAGGACCCAAAATATGGGGGGCATCGGTGGTCGAAACGTTTTGTAGTCGTGCTTATCACTGTGAGGTCCCGGGTTGAAATCCAGCGGCCCTGCATTCGAACCCGACATACTTACAAATGTTTGTTTTTTCAAAAACATCGGCACCCCGAGGGTTGATATGACCTTTGCTGTTGGGAACACTCGTTAAAAAAATTAAATAAATAAAAATAAAAAGTAGCTATTCAAACATTAGGCAGTATACAAAAACTAGAAACGTATGTATCACAGGGGCGATGACAACGACACCTACAAGTGCATTAGAAACTCTGCTAAACCTACCTCTACTGGAAATATTTATACAAGGAGAGGCTAAGAAAAGCTCATTTAGGCTCCAAAAACAATCAAATTGGATAGGAATTGATCAATTTTCGGGCATACTACCACAATTAACAAAATCAGACACCTATTTTTGGAAATGGGGGCTGACTATATGATCCCCCTTTACAACATCCTATAAAGTCCCAACAGACTATAAAGGAGAGGAAGAACACAGGAGAGCATCAGATACAATGATATGGTATACAGATGGCTCCAAACCAAACGAAGGAACTGGATCGGGTATTTACTGTACAAGCCCAAAATATGAGCAATCAAACTCAATAGGGAAGTACACTTTGGTCTTTCAAGCAGAAAAATACATGCCATCAACGCTTGTGCCATAGAAAATCTTAAAATATGTAACACTGGCAAAAATCATCATAAGATCTGATAAGCCAAGCAATTACTAAAGCATTAGCATGTAAAGGAATTACATCAAAATTAGTCGGTGAATGCATCCAAAATCTCCAAAACCTGGGAAAACACAATAACCTGATGATATCTTGGGTGCCAGGGCACAGAATAATTTTGGGTAACGACAAAGCAGACAGTCTGGCCCGAGGAAGATCTGCAAGACCATACATAGGCCCCGAACCTACACGTGCGATAACAAAAACAAATATAGAATCCTCTTGCAGAATGGATCCAAACAAAACAAAAGGAGAAGTGGATAAACTCTAGCGGCGTTAGGCACGGTAAACTTATGATGAAACAACCCTCACCAAGACTGGCAAAATCACTGCTGCAATTGGAGAAGGCTAAGCTCCGAGGAGTGATAAGACTATTAACCAGTCACTGGCATCTGAGAAAACATCTACACAACATGGGCATGTACAACGATGATCCCATCTGCCGATTATGCAATGACGTGGAGGAAACATCCACCCATATCATCTTCGGATGCAAAGCAACAGCTCAATGGACATTTAACCTGACATACGAAAAAGCTTAAGGAATGAAATTTTAGCAGCGATAGTCATTGACCTGATACTTCTAAGAAGAAGGATTGAGTTAATTGCAATGAACTAAGGAAGTAGGAAGGTACAATGAGCCAGAAGCCTGCAGTGCCTGGGGAGCACAAACCCCGCTTCCTTGTATTCTTATTTCCATACCCTGGGGTATTGTGACGGAAGGAGTAATCCTATATGTTAATCGTTTTTAAGATAAAAAACATAACTAAATTGTACTATCAAAATTTAATAAAAACATACAAACTATTCGATTTTTATGGTGTGGTGTATCTGCCTTGTTTTATAAAAATTTGTAGTATTTGCTCTCAATATGCAAGATTTAATGAAATCGGTGAATTTTATCCGATATTTCACCCATGACTTTGATTTAGATTGATTTGGCGTTTTTCTACTGCCTTAAAATAGAAGCTCTCTCTAAATTTCTTCAACCTTCTACGAACAAGTAGCAAAAATTGTGTCACACATTAATATGTACACATACACAAATATATTCTTGATGAATGAAGAAAAGCATTAATATTTTATAATCCCTTATCAATTTTTTTTAAATTTTCTATATTGGATATTAAAAAAATATTTCTGGGATACATAGAAATGATAAATTTCATTACAAATGTTATTTTGCACTTGTTATTTGAAATATGAAAATTCTTCACTACAAAATTTTGAAATAAAAGTTATGCACTATATATGCACAATTAAATAAAAAATATAAAAGAATTGTACACAATATTTTATTTGTAACAGTAGAGTATTTTGACAAATTTAACTTAATGATGAAAATTTATTTTGATGCGTTAAAGTTGTAACAATTTACTGTTACTGTTTAACAATTAATATGGCTTAATTAGGACATATTTAAATTTCAGACTTTTTTATGCTATTACATACCCTTAAAAGTAGAGTTATACAAAAGAGAAGAAAGAAGTGCTTGATTAAAAAAAATCTTGGTGGTTTGTAAAGAAAAGTGCAGTATATTGAACATTAATTTCCCATTGCATGCTCAATCTGATTAAAAAGCATTCAAAAAACTTTAAATCCATCAGGCATAAATCTGTAAAAAATTGTGTATAATAAAAAAATTGTGCGCTGGATGCGGATAAAAGTGTGCGTGCTCATACAAAAGTTTCAAAGAAAATGAAAATTGGAAAGAAACCGGATGCTCAGGTGCAATTTGTAGAAAGACGTTGTGAATTGGAAAAAAATCGATTTGTCTTGCTGCATCTGTACCTGAAGAATACGTAATAATGAAGTTACTTATTGATGACGTCGTAGTTGTCACAGAAGGGGTCGTTCTTCTAGGGGCTACTGTAGTGCTCCTTACCATCAGCTTTGGCTTTGTCTTCCCAACTGTAACAATTTTAACTTTAAATCTTTGAAATCTGAAAACCGACGTCCGATTTTCTATATAAATATTCATCCGCTAGGAGCAGCTCATATTTCGATAGTTAAGAGAAAACAAGAAAACCCTTTATAACACTAACACAAAAATAAATAATACAAATTTCGGTTTATAAGTAGGGCACAATGAGTAAACTCATTAACTTTGGCCATGACAATGCTAACTCAGCCCGAACAGAAGAATGTCATATAAAAATACTGGACGAAAGACTTACAGTAATAAAAACATCTAAATAATAACCGAGGATTTCAAAAAAATCGTTGACTCAGAAAAATACCCGTTTAATAATGATTCTTCTCTTTCCTTAGCTGCACAAATGTTAACGTAAATGTTATCATTTCATACATTTTTCCATCGCGGCAATTCAATATTCATAACAAAGAGTCTGTAATAAAGGTTTTTCTGTCAAGAGGGAGAAATGTAGAAACAATTTAAAAAAGTAATGCAATGGTATTTTTATTACATAACATCATTTAGAACTTCTCTTTCCATGTAATGAATATTTCACAAATATATTTTGATTTGAAATTAGTTTTAATTGATCAAACTCTATTTTTGATTAAAACATAATCTTTCAAGACGATTGTTTCTATCTAAAACCGAAAAAATTTATCCCAGTTTTAAAATATAAAAATAATAAAGTGATGGGGCGTCGGTGGGCTCAACGGTTTAAATGTTGATACGGCGCTCATCACTGTAAGGTAAAGGTCCCGGGTTCGAATCAAGCAGACCTGCATTCGAACCCGAGATACTTATAAATTGGCTGTTTTTTCAAAAACACCGGCACCCCGAGGGTTAATATGACCTCAACTTTTGCGAAAAAAATATAAAAAATATAAATAAAATAAAAAGTAAAGTGATCTACATTAATCATAAATGAGACTCATCGGTTCATCTTTTTTTGATCATATTTCATTTCACCGTTAACTTATTTGCTGAAAAAATTATTATTCTCGCGAGTTTACGGTTTTGTCCTTCGACCTCATTATTTCGACAATTCTTCCAACTCATCCGGAAAAAAGTTCTACTCTACCTCAGTTACATCTCCGACTCGGTCCTTTGAACGGCATATTTTTCCTTGTATAAATTCTGTACTATAAATCTGATTGCAAATCTTGACAAACTTTTACAATTTCCGACACCAATACGTCAGGCAAGTTTATTACCCATTCCTGACAAGATCTTTTGAAAATTTATCTTTAAACGTCTTCATTGAAAACTAGAAGCTCATTAAAACCATTACTTTTTATACTAAGCCTATCAAAGCACCTCCGTCCATAAATTTCATGCATCCGTGTTTTGGATAATGTTTGGCACGAGGGGTTGCCATTTGAACGGAAGAGCATCCTACATTTACATCAATAACTTATTATGCAATCATACCTGTAGTACGCGGTAATAAACGTGAACTTATATAGCTAAATAATAAACTAGATGAAAACTCATTAGGCAATGTGTTTCGCTTTGTCAATATTTTGATTATTTAAGGTGAGTGACGTAATGCTCCAGTGATGTCCTTTATCTCACGACATGATATCATTAGAATACATTTTACAAAAATAATTATCGAATATATTTCAGAAGAATTTCAGCCCTTAGAAATAAGAAAAATTGACCAAGGATTTTGACCAGGAAATTTTGACATTCATATGTGTTAAATTTTGCCTATATTCCGATTATTTACCATTTAAGTATTTTTATAAAGACGCGGGTTTTTTTCTTGTGACTAATTTAATAAAAATAGTAACTAGTTATCTAAAAGCAATATTTTACGTCAAATTTATTGTACTATCTGCATTTATAACAGATCTCACGATCATTGGTGTTTACGGTAACTTTTTACTCAAATAAATAAGCATTTTTATAAAAACCTTTAAGTTGGAGAGTTATTTGTGTATTTGTATATTTTATTTTATAGAGAAAAGGAAAATTTTCAATTTGGAATTGTTTTCAAAAAAATTCAGTCGACCTGTTCTATAAAAATTGTTTTAATTCCTTTTCTACGAGTTGTAAATTAAATTATATTATGTTTTAAAATTTGGTTAATAATACTACGTGAAAAAGTCAGTATTTTAAGACATTTATAAATGGTTAATGACTGTAATTAATAGTTATTCAGATATCGCGAGATGCGGGCGGGTGTGATATAGGTTTCAGAAAATCATTTTCTTTATCGTGCCAACTTTGTTTGAATATAAAATATATTTTGCATTATATAAATTCACTTTTCCACATCCTAAATGTATTTGTTAAATGTAATCATTGTTTGTAAATCCCAGGCCCTGAAGATGATCCCAATAAAAGATCGAAACTTTGGCACGATAAAGAAAACGTTTTTTTGAAACCTACATCACACCCGACCGCACCTCACGATATCTGAATAACTATCGATTAACGGTCACTAATCTCTACATACTGTAATTAATTATTAATGAGGAATTACTCTCAAACATCAAGGTAGAATTTTTGTTTGAAGCTAGCCAATATTAGCGTAAAGTAGTGCGGCCCTAAGCCATCGGCATAGTCCAGTCCAACAGTGCTATCTCCATAAATTGAAAAATAAAATTTCTTCAGAGCTAATCAAACATATTTTTTTGTAAATGAATAACTCGTTTGAATGAGACTGAGAGCAGTACCTTTTATGAGCAGTTGCCTTTTATTCATGCCGGGAGGTTTTATCCCTTAAAAACTAATGATATTGGATTATTCACTAGAAAGTAATTTTACATATCTAACCAGCCCGTGAAAAAACCGACCACCTGGTTTTCAAGAATGCATAAATTTTGATCCGTCCTGTTTTCAAAGGACGTTTTAAAAAAATGAACAGGGAAGCGACGAGCCTTACTTTTTCTTACTTTGAACTTTTTGATGCGTAATGCTTCTGATATCGATAACGGCTTGTTCACCTCATCACGAAAATTCAATTTTCCTTCCCAACAGGTGTTGTGGCAGTTTGGCTTCGAATAAAGTATAGAAACTATACATTTATGCACGGAAGATCGGAGGAGAGAGAGTTTGGTTTTTTCATGAGATTTTCACGTATAAATACACGTTTCACAATAACTCGAAAAGGGTTGAGAAATCGGGCAATGTGGAAAGTGACCAATCGAAAGCTTATTAAAATTTCCTATTGATTGGTAAAGGGCGTCGCTCCAGGACAAATCTCTGGCTTCACAGCATAATTCGATGTTTTCGTAAAAAGTGAAAAAATTTCCAAAGTTAGCCATTTTTGGTGCAAAACTCATACATTGATGTATAGTTATTATTTGGAAAAACTTTTCCTAAAGAAATAAAATAAACACATTTTCCTGTAATCTAATTTAAGCTTGTTGTTTATATTTATTAACCGTTTAAATAATTAAAAAATAGTTTCAAAATTCTGATGAAGAAGATATAATTCTCAAAAGCTTGACGAATGATTGTGTCATCTTTCAAATTTACCTTATCTCTGATTTGTTTTATTATAAATTTTATTGTGAGCTACATAACTTCAACTTTTTTTTTATTCAGCGTAAAATTTTCGAACAAATGATACCTAGCTTAATTCTGTGACTTACAGGCTGATAAAATATGTATTTCCAAAGTGGTATAGTTATTATTTGGAAAACTTTTCTAAAAAAATAAAATAAACGCATTTTCCTATAATACAATTTAAGATTGTTGTTTATATTTAATAACAATTTAAATTAATAAAAACTAGTTTCAAAATTCTGATGAAGAGAATATATTTCTTCCAAATTTGCCTTATCCCTGATTTTTATATTATATAATTTATTGTGAGCTACATAAGTTCACTTTTTTTAGACAACGTTGTTTTGTTCAGCGTAAAATTTTCTAACAAATAATATCTAGCTCAGTTCTGTGACTTACAAGGCTGAGAAAATATGCATTTTTAAAATTGGCCATTTTTTGTGCAAAAATCATGTGGCCAGGGTTTTTTAATTCATTTTTATTTTAATCGGAAATATAGTTATTAGTTGACAAAATTCTTCTAAAAAATAATAAAACCGTGCAGTATTTTAAACGTGGTAAATAACCAAAATATGGAAAAAATTAAACATCGTTTTGTAGACAGTTTTCCTGTAATTAGTTTTAAGCTTGTTGTTTATATTTATTAACCGTTTAAATTAAGCAGTTTAAATATCCTTACGAAGAGGATATATTTATCAAAAGGTTGACGAATGAAATGTGTCATCTTTCAAATTTGCCTTATCCCTGATTTTTATTATATAATTTATCGTGAGCTACGTAAGATCACTTTTATTAAACAAACTTTTGTTTTAAACTCGCCCAGTGTAACTCCTGTCACTCTGTATTAATTTTCTTGATAATTTAAAATATTATGTTTAATTAAAAATGTAATTTATATACGAATGTGAAATATTCGTATATATTGTGAATAATATATGTCTTTTAAATAAATTGTTTGGAATTTCTGGCCAGCATTTCGACCACGTTTTATGAAGACGTTTATTAAAGAACGATAGGGTTTAACTTACCTTCCTACGACTATAAAAATTTAACGTCTTGCAAAATGAAAAGTTAAGGCCTATCGGGGTAAATAGGAGGCCAGTTCTTATTCAGTTAGAGGCAATTCATTTCAGAGCATTAATGGAACTGGTATCAGGGAAGCGTTAAAATGAGTTAACGGTCGGTCACCACCTCCGTTCCAACTTGTTCTATCTCATTTATAGCTGCAACACCATAAAAACGAGTTAAGGCTAAGGGGTGTAATAAAATTTAGCGGTTAGCGAACGTGAGGTGCGGCCTGTAGGGTGTCTGAAGCGTGATGGGATTACATATGGCGGTGTAATACAGTTCTCCTACCTCTTATATAGTTATACTCGTACTCTCTCCCGGCCCTTCTACGTCGCTTCCTACGGACAATTTGGGACCCCGCAGTCAAACACTGAAATCTTTTATTGTGGAATAAAATGTGTAAAGAACA